AGTAATTTCTCAATAAAGAAGAAGTTTGTTGCAAAGACTGAAAAGTGAAGGAAACTACATCATAATCCAAAAATTTTACGTTTACTGCAGAAACTATTATAATCTGTATCACTACATCATTCATCATCTTGAAAGTAATAGTTTCGCTGCCTTCTTTTTTGGAGTAGATTCAAACAACTTACACATCTCCTGAAACAAGCAAATTTAAATTTCCAAAACCTTTTCTACGCCAATTTCCTGATGACACTTCAAATCACTATAACCTGTCAGCCTGCAAAAATGTAACCTATATGTATTTCTCAACAATATAAAATATGAATGTTATCAATGAAGAATGAAGGTTAATACAATCAAATCTAGAGATAATAAATGTCACCTAGTCAATATGATATCCTGAGAGGAAGTGTTGCATCAATATTCCAGTCAGGACATAATATTGGCTGTAAGAATGTCACTGCTTTGCTCAGAAAATTCAAAAACCGGAAAACTTGCAGTCAGCAAAAACTGACCAATAAAAAATAAGTTTGTTGCAAGGACTGAAAAGTGAGGGAAACTACATCTTTAGGTTTACAACAGAAAGTCCTTTAGCACTGCATCATTCATCACCTTGAAAATAATAGTATCGCTGCCTTGCTCCAGAATCTTTGAAGAAGATTCAAATAACTTAAACATATCCTGAAACAAGCAAATTTAAATTTCCAAAATCTTTTTTGCGCCAATTTTTCCTGATGACTACATTTTAATCCAAAAATTTTAGGTTTACTACAAAAACTATCATCTGGTTTTTCTGCACCAATTTCCTGACGACACTACAGCTACCTGTCAGCCTGCTATTAACCTTAAAATTAACCTATAGCTATTTCACGACAATATAGAACATTTATGTTATGGCTGAAGAATGAAGGTTAATACCACCAAACGTAGTTATAATAAATGTCACCAGTCCATAGAATATCCTGAGAGGAATTATATGTTTCCTCAGTACTCCAGTCAGAACATGAAATTGGCGGTAAGAATGTCACTAATTTGCTCATAAAATTTAGATAAGGGGCAACTGTCAGTTAGCAAAAACTGACCTATAGTAATTTCTCAATAAAGAAGAAGTTTTTTGCAAAGACTGAAAACTGAAGGAAACTACATCTCAATCCAAAAATTTTAGGTTTACTACAAAAACTATCATCATCTGTATCACTACATAATTCATCACCTTCAAAGTAATGTTTTGCTGCCTTGCTCCAAAATCTTTGGAGTAGATTCGGACAACTTACACATCTACTGAAACAAGCAAATTTAAATTTCCACAAATGTTCTGCGCCAATTTCCTGAAGACACTTCAAATCACTACAGCTACCTGCCTGCACAAAATTAACCTATAGCTATTTCTCGACAATATAGAAAATTTAAGCTATGACTGTAGAATGAAGATAATATATGCAAGAAATGTGTAAGAAATATTGAGCCAGTCAATATAATATCCTGGGGAGAAATTATGCTGCATCGGTACATTACATACACCATTCAAGACATGAACTTGACATTGCCCAACACTCATTGATTTGCTCAGAAAACTTTGCACTAGTTACCAATTATTTAAACTTCTCCTGAAGCAACTTATTCAGCAAAAAACTAACTTGCAGCTATTACCTAAAAGAAACATTTATGTTATGGCAGAAAAATAATATCCCATGCATATAAATCTAAATACAAATATTCTGCAAGAAACTATGTTGCAACAAGATTCAAGACACGAAATTGAATGAGAGAATGTCACTGGTTTGTTCAGAAATCTTTGAATTAGTTACAAACTATTTAAACCTCGATAGAGGCAACTGACATTCAGCAAAAAAAAACCTCAGCCTTTTTCGTACAAGATTTGTGATATGACTTAAGAATAAATGACACAATACATCCTATTATAATTAAAGAAATGTGATGCCGTCAATATACTTACGATTATGTTGCATCAAACCATCAACTTGACAACTTGCTTTATTCTCGTTTATTACATCTGAGTCCAGCTGTACGACTTTATTCATCGCAAAATTCTAAGAAGTTTGATTACTTAACCATTACTTCATTAAATTGTAAATTTTCAACTCATAATTGTGAGCAAAATAACAAACTTTGACAGTTATCAAAACTAAATGGTTCATTTTTTAAAAAGTTGTCTTAAGGAATTACTGAATGTTTCAACAGAATACAGGCCAAGGATTTGTTACGTGAATTTTGAATTGTTCCAATTGTACTCTTGTTCGTACTTTTGTAATCTTTTTGGTTTTCCTAAATGAGGCCGATCGTAGAAGAAAAGGGGCTCTGCGTGCAGGATATCGCGTGCAGGTTTTCTTCTCGTTTTTCTTCCACTGTAACTTGAAGGCCTTTTAATGTCCTTCTGTATGGACTCAGTTCACGGAAGAGGTTAACGAATTTCATTGACGGACTTTGAGCTTCGGCTATTCCAAAAACAACTGTTGACAAATTGTAAACTTTACCTGTTGTACTACAAAATTAATGAACATTTTGACCTTCCCAACTATTTTTATTTTGCTTATTAAAAAACATTTTAATAACTGATCCACTATAAAATAGAGAATGGACAAATAATAAACAGCAACCATATTGTAAACTGTTAATAATTTTACGAAAACTTTTTGAATCTTCAATCAATCTATCGAAATAATCACTTGTTTGGCAAAAAAATAAATATTCTTAAAAATACTTGTTCTAAAAACTGATTAATAAAGCACAGATAAAAAAGGAGGTTAAAATTGTGCCCAAATAAAGATTGGACATTTTGATTTGCAAATATCCGTAGAAATAATAAATCAATTTCGGATTTCTTTCTAGAGAAAACAGGTTCATTTTGAATTTCCTATATACCGGTGGCTGCCTTTTACAGAGTCAATTTTTTTATAATAAAACGAATGACAATTTTTTTAACAATTGCCTGATATATTGATAGAGAACGAGAGAGACAGAGACAGAGAGAGAGCGAAAGAGAGTGAGTGAGAAAGTGAGAGAGAGTGTGTGAGAGTGAGGGGAATGTTGATATTGGGAGATGTTGATATTATTTTACCATGCAAAATTAGGTTTCGTGGACCTCTCTCTAAATCAACGTCGAATGATACAATTCACACCATTTGAAATAATTTATTAATAATAATTCAAATTATTTATTTTATTTCAAAGAGTTTATTACACCAAGAGAATTATGAAATGAACTTCTAATAAATAGTTGTAAAAGATAAAAATAAAAATATCGATAAAATGTCTTAGAACTTGTATACAGATTATAATCCTTTAACAAGGAGAGGGAGAGAGAGATGGAGAGGGAAAGAAAGAGAGAAAGAGAGAGAGTGAGAGAGAGAGAAAGTGCGAGAGTGAGAGTGAAATATAAAAATAGAAGGAGATAGAGAGTGTGAAAGTGAAAGAGAATGAGAGAAGGACGTAGTTAGAGAGAGAGACAGAGTGAGAGTGAAAGTGAAAGAGATAAGGAGATAGTTAGAGAGAGAGAGTGAGAGTGAAAGGAAAAGAGGTAAGGAGATAGTTAGAGAGAGAGAGTGAGAGTGAAAAGAAAAGAGAGAAGGAGATAGTTAGAGAAAGACAGAGTGAAAGTGAAAGAGAAAGGGAGAAGGAGATAGTTAGAGAGAGAGTGAAAGTGAAAGAGAAAGATAAAAAGAGATAGGCAGATAGTGAGAGAGAGAAAGTGAGAGTAAAAGAGAAAGAGAGAAGAAGATAGAGAGAGAGTTGGAGTGAAAGAGAAAGAGAGAAGAAAAAAGTTAGAGAGAGAGAGAGTTAGAGTGAAAGAGAAAGAGAGAGAGTGGAAAAGAAAGAGAGAGAGATGATGAAAGTGAAAAAGAAAGAGATAAAAAGACTTTCAGAGAGAGAGGGGGGAGAGAGAAAGAGAAAGAGAAAGATAAAAAGAGATAGTCAGATAGTGAGAGTGAGAGAGAGAAAGTGAGAGTGAAAGAGAAAGAGAGAAGTAAAAGTTAGAGAGAGAGAGAGAGTGAGAGTGAAAGAGAAAGAGAGAGTGAAAGAGAAAGAGAGAGAGAGATAGTGAAAGTGAAAGAGAAAGAGAGAAAGAGATAGTTAGGGAGTAAGAGCGAGAGAGAGGAAGTGAGAGTGAAAAAGAAAGAGATAAAAAAACTTTCAGAGACAGAGAGAGAGTGAGAGAGTGAGAGAGAGCGAGAGAGAGAGAGAGGGAGAGAGAGAGAGGGAGAGAGAGAGGGAGAGAGAGAGAAAAAGCAAGAGAGAAATAGACTTTCAGAGAGAGAGAGAGAGAGAGAGTGAAAGAGAAAGAGAGAAGGAGATAGTTAGAGAGAGAGAGAGAAAGTGAGAATGAAAGAGAAAGGGAGAAGGAGATAGTTAGAGAGTGAGAGTGAAAGATAAAGAGAAAAGGAGATCGTTAGAGAGTGAGAGAGAGAGAGAGAGTGAAGTGTCGAGCGTGTGTGTTATGAAGAGTGTATATGGGTGTGATTTCAAGAAATGTAGAAAGAGAGAGCAAGAGATAGAAACAAAAATATAGTAAGAGATTAACGGAAAGATTGTGGGATCTTATAGATAGAAAGTGCAAGTCAGTTTCTTGCCTGAGAGAGTGGTAGAGAAAGAGAGACCAAGAGGCAGACAGACGGATAGAAATTTAAAAAAATCAATTGGAGGATTCGCCAGAACGGCGCTTTCCAATGTTAAACCAGCACGACCTATCTGTCATGTGGTTTTAATATATTCACGACACTTGGAACTTACTGCTTAGAAATGTTCTTCCTGTGAGGAAAGCCAAATCCAACTCGCGCTTCGTAGTCTTATTATTTTTCCGGTTCACGGAAAAACATGGAATTGTGTATATTTTTGTTTTAATTTGAAAAAAAATTCAGCTACAAGCCCGATGTTTCTTTCGATTTTTTTTCAAGTGTAAAGGCACGTTATACTGTGTCTTAACATTATTTAAAACAATAGCATTTTAATAATATTTTATTATAAATGTCGTTTTTTGTATGTTTTAGCGTGTAGCCAGGTGGAGGTCGGTCTGCAGGGGATGTTCGGCCCTTGGGAGCCATCGTTGGGCGCACACGTCCAGAGTCTCTGCGAGGCGCTCGACCTACCCCACATGGAAGCGAGGCTCGATCTCGATCACGGCCACAAAGAGTTCTCGATCAATCTCCATCCATCGCAGGTCCATCTGAACGCAGCTGTCAAAGACCTCATCACCTTCCTCAACTGGACCAGGGTGGCCATCGTCTACGAGGAAGATTACGGTCAGTACAACATTCCGAAACCGGCTAGGTTGTTTAATCCAATTTCTATCACTTAAAAGATTTAATTTAATCTACTTACTGCTTATTATAAAGTTTGAACCTCTTACCAATTTAAGCAAGATGCCACAATTGTAATAATTTGAATTATGTTAAAATCCTTTTAAACCCTTAAATATCGTTGATCCTGTCAAACTTCATAAAAGTTGCCAACTAAATACAACAAGCTTTTTAAAACAAACAACACACAGATTTTTTTTGTTTAATCCATAAATGCTTCTTTTTGGTTAATTTTTATTCGTTTTTGCCAAACACAGCAATTACACTTGTCGCAACTTGCAATTTTTTTTAATTGAGAAAAATAACACGTAAATGGCTAAAATGATCAAATGCAAATAAACAAACAGTTAAAAAACACTGAATTAAAAACAGAAAAAGAAATAACAGCCTATTTTGTTTCAACAGCCAAAACCATCAGCGCCAAAGGTTAGAAAACAAAGAAAACTTTTCAAATTACATTTCCAAACCCGCTTTGTAGATAGCTAAGTGTATATTGCTATATTCTGTATAGTGATATGTGCTTCAATTTTTCTCTAAATACGTATTTACTATGTTAATTGTTAATATTGTTATAATTCGTATAGAAGAGACACTGGTTAGAATAGTAAAACAACTTTAGATAGGAGGATTTCTTTTTGAACGACTCTGCATGAGCTTTTTTCTCTCAAAAGTTCGGATTGCTATTTTTGTCCTTTTTCGTACAATCTTCTGCATCATTGTGTGTTTTTGTAAAATCCTTCCATCGTTTGAAGACGATCACCTCGATTTGACGCAGATCGTGTTAAAATGTACATATTTGGTTTATAAAAGAAGCACGTTTTTATCTCTCTTAAGAAAAAAATTGTTTAATTATTTTTTACGGAAAGGATATTTGTAATTCATAATTTTTTTATTAAATATGAGTATTTTTTGTATTTTATTCATTTGACCTTCTGGGAGATAATATCCTTAAAACACACACACACACACACACACACACACATACACACATTATTTGCGATCCTAAAACTTTTTAGAAACGAACTGTTGCGACAAAAGTTTTCAGAATATCAAGCAAAGAAACAAGAGAGGTGTTTACTGTGATGTGATAAAACATTATAACTTACTTCAATTAATTATGGTCTTGGTTGTAATGAAAAAGCGGGATTCGAAGATTCCTTACATAAAATATTAATTAATTGAACTAATGCTTCTCTAACCACTTGACCATCGTGACTTCGGTCTACTCGGACATCCTTCTCAACTTCCCATCTCAACCTTTCGAATTTTCCCTCTTTTTGCCATGATTTGTGGGTTCGAATCCCGCCCGTGACACAGACTTTTTCATCCCATACATGAAAAGAATAAGTAATTGAAATAATTAATGTGGTTAATTAGATCATTAATATAAATGGATTATTTATAACTTTGTAGAAAATCAGTAAAAGTAATATTTAAAATGCGAGAAAGAAAACAGATAGAAAGAAGAGCTAGAATAGGGCTGGCGATGGGCAATGTAGTTTGTCGGCATTTATAAAATAAAAATAAAAATAAAATAAGTAAATAAAATTTAAAAAATGCAGTATAAAGTAAAAAGCTGAAATTTACTTTAAGTCAATTATCACTTTTTACAAGTGTGTGGTGGTTAGTGACCGTTAATCAATGATTATCCAGAAATCGTGAGATGGGGTCTGGTGTGATGTAGGATTCAGAAAAACATTTTCTTTATCGCGCCACTGTTTCGATCTTTATTGAGATCATCATCACTCTCAACAAGACACGCAAGAATGGCACAATTACACATATTATATTTTTATAAACTAAAAATAAAAATAAAATAAGTAAATAAAATTTAAAAAAATGCAGTATAAAGTAAAAAGTTGAAATTTACTTTAAATCAATTATCACTTTTTACAAGTGTGTGATGGTTAGTGACAGTTAATCAATGATTATTCTTACTTTAAGTATATCAATGATTATTACTTTGAGCCCTGAAGATGATCTCAATAAAGATCGAAACGTTGGCACGATAAGGAAAATGTTTTTCTGAAACCTAAATCACACCAGACCGCATCTCACAATTTCTGAATAATTTTTTTTTACAAGTTTTCCTATTAAATGTCATACATAAAAATAAGTTGACCCTTCAAAGAGAGGATTCGATTTTACCTCGTTATTGTAAATATTTTACAAAAATAAATTAATAAAAATGTCAGTCATTTAAATACATTTTCTTAGCTGATTTTGAAAAACAATTTTCTATCTTTGATATTTGTTGAGTGTTCACCCGTTCATAATTTATTTCAATATATATAAATTCTTTAAAAATTGTTATGCAATAATATTTATTGGTTTTAATTTTAAAAAAAGCATCATTGTAATAACGAATTTGTAAAGGATTTAATCGGGTCAAACTCCTGGGGGTCACAGGAAACACATCAATCGTCCCTCTTTTTACCGAAACAGCAGAAATTAGGAGGTGGAGGAAAGGACAGTTTTGGAAAATATTAACCGTAATTGCGCTCGGTCGGGCTACAAATCAAGTTTTCCGTTTTGCAAATTCCGCCCTTCAATCTACGACACCAAACAAAACAGTAGGGCAAATCAACGGGATTTGAAACAATTACGACTTTCTGAATTTTACAACTAACCGTTAAAAAATTCGTGCAGTGAATTCGTTTTTATTAGTTTTTTAATAAGTAGTAATATGGTCTGGTTTATAATAAAGATGCTATTTTTGCTTATTTTTACCAGAATATAAAGGGTTTTATATTTTCAAGATTTAATTACTGTGATATATCTCTGGCGCTATATCGTTCCATCATAGTCACATATTCTCAAGTATTTCATTAATATTATGTCAAAGCAATTATATAAAAACTGACATAATTGTAGGTTTCTTTGTGGTTTTTATTTATAAATATTGTTTTAGAACACCGTGGTGACCGTTTGGTTAGAATGGTTCTGGGTTCGATGCCCTGCTTAGCACTTGGATTTTATGTATGCAGTGATCTGAATAAATCATTAACACCTAGTAAAAAATTGACTACCCGTCAGAAGACAATATTTCAAGCCTGCACAATAGACCTTAACTGTTAACGTACAAGAAGACTCCGGAAGTGAATTATTTTTTGTTCGTAATTAAATATTATCTCTGTTTCAAAAATTAGATATATTCTTCCCGTGGTATGGCCAACGTGGAGCCCTGATTTGACCCGATCAGATTTTTACAAATGGGGAACTTTGAAAAGTGCAGTTTACAGAACAACCATCGAAAAAAACAACTCATAGAGAAAATTGAAATCACGTGCATTGACATAAGGGAAAGAAGGAAGGGAAATGAGTCTGATTTTTGTTACCAACCTATAAATGTTTTTATTAAATCTTTCAATTAATTAAGGTTTTTAGTTGAGATAGAAAAGTCAATGTCACGAGCGAGATTCGAACCCACGACCTTCGGCTAGATACGCCGCTGCTCTACCACTTGAGCTATCGTGACCTCGATCCACTCGGACATCAATTTCCCATCTCATCTCCATCTTTTGAATTTTCTCTCCTTTTTGCCAATTTTAAAATGTCGTGTAATCTAATAAAATCTAATAATAAAACAAATGAAATGGTCACGGAGAGCTTTAGTGAAGATATACTTCATTTTAATTCATTAAATTCACTATTTTTCGTGGTCCGCTTGACCAAATAATAGCATTCAATTAATGAAGGTTTTAAGTTGAGATAAAAAAGTCAGCGTCACGAGCGGATTCGAACCCACGACCTCAGGCTAGATACGCCGCTGCTCTACCACCTGAGCTACCGTTACTTCGATCCACTACGACACTAACTTCCCAACTCAACTCCACCTTTTGAATTTTCCCTCCTTTTTGCCATTTTTAATTTTTTTATTAAAAATGTGACAAGTATGATGTTCTGAGGTTGATGCTCTTCCTGGGTTCGATATCACGTTTTTCAACCTTGCAAAGGTGATTTCAATAAACAAATTGGACAAAAGTGAGCTTGTAATACATTGATGAAATTTTGATGGAAAAGTCATTGTACTAACCCCAATTAGATATTTTTTTTTAAACCATAGGCTTTGCCGTTTCTTATCCTTTCAGCAGTTACTATGCATTCGGAAGCGCAAATTTTTCAACGGAAATTTTGTTACCTTGTGGAAAATTTATTGTAGTTTACAGTTCTAAAGGTCAGACTTGTATTTTAATGAAGCTAAAGTTGAGAAATTACGATTTCATGTGAAAAAAATTTGATTTTAGACTAAAATGACAAAAAGGTTCTGGAACGAGTCGACATAGAAACCTCGTTCTGTGTCGCTGAACTCTGTAATACTCTGTATAGTACTCTTTTAGAGTCAAATATTGAATTCAGTGTTTTTGGCTCTGATTCTGTGTCAACTGAGATTGTTAAAGCTGACAGTGGCACTAGTATTTCTTAATTATCTGCTCTGGTTGAAGAAAGACCTGCTCAGGAAAAGTTGTTCTATGACCTTCATCATTTCATCTTTGTTAATGCCCGGCTATACACGAGAAGATCCTTCACAGGATGAACAATTGCCAACGATTTGACGAACAGTGGCTGGCATCCCTGCCAAAAAGTGCCCATGCGTTATTCCTGTATGACCTATGCGTAGTCTTGTCAGAATAGACCTTTCTCTTTTGACCCGTACTCCGTAGAGTAGGGAGCAAGACTGACTAGAAAAACACATTCTCTTCATAAATTATTGATCTTAATATTTTTAACTAATTTGTGTGTTATAGTCGTATAAACTGAACATTGCGGAAATTTTAAAAATTATATATTATTTATGTAAATAGGCATGTTTTATACTATTAAAATAATCAAAAATACCAAAATTACAGAAGAAATATATAAACAATTTTTTTACGCTTTTTAAACATTTTTGCTTGTTTTATTTAATCGATTTGGTAATTTTTTTACTCATTTATCTGTAACGCTTAAACCTTCAGACTTTGTATCTACAACTGAATTTTAATGCAAGTTACATTAAATTTTATAGTATAAAATTGAGTTTATTTCATTAAATTGTTCTTTTTCTAGGAAATCAAGTTGAAAATTTTGTTTAGATATTCAATATATCACTATTTTTTCTCACAAGCTGTTGAAAGTTAATTTTTTTCTCAACCCGTTATCGCTGAACCGTATAAATTAACCCTAATTTCCCATTCAACATTTATAAATTACCCAATTATGCCATTACTGTTGTATTTAATTACGGTATTATGCTCCTTCAATGTATAATTTTAGCGATAAACTTCCGCGCCTGATTTAAATATTTTGTCCTATGCCTACATACTTTGTGTGTTCTGTTTAGCAATCAAGTATGGTTGTGTTTGGGTGTATGATTATGTATGCGGAGTGTGTGGCAAATGGTTGATAATTGAACATCAATTATACAAAACCAAGCTATGAAAACAAAAAACAAACGCTTTTTAATATAATTAAAACGACATTGTTATTTTTTATAATGTTTAATGTTTATGTTTAATATTTTATAAAATTAAAACCAGTTCACTCAACACTACTGGCAAACAACTCCCAAATATTTTCGTTTTTTTTTGCTTTTTGCTCTGCTCGTACTTCATTTTTTAAGAAAAAAAAGGGCATGGATATTTGTCTAAATTTCCAAATTTTCTATTTGTTCAAATAAATTTTTGCATGAGCACCAACTTTTCTTTCACTGCTACCAAATTTTTGCATTCAGATTTTACAAGTACTGTGTATATAATATTGAATCATAACGTTGTATTTATAAACTGATTTTTTTTTCTTATAAATTTTACACCTATGCTTAAAATAGTACATTTACACACAAAAGGATTTTTTACTGTTTCTATAAAGATTCATGACAGTTTCTTTTTTTTACGCTTTTCGTCTAGGATTATTCAAGCTTCAAGAGCTGGTGAAAGCTCCTCCTGGTTCGAGGACGGAAATGTACATAAGGCAGGCTCATCCTGGCAATTACAGGCACGTCCTGAGAGAAATAAGGCAGAAGGAGATTTTCAAACTGATCGTCGACACCAACCCGTCCAACATGAACCACTTTTTTAGAGCGGTAAGTACATTTTAAAAAATATTACTAAATTTATTTTCTTTTTAACGAATCGCATTCCTTAAAAACTAAAACTGGTCGCAGGCTTACAATGTTTTACATGAAGCCTGATATTATAATGATTAATTATTGATTTTAAGTAATTAAGGTTTTTAGTTGAGATAAAAAAGTCAGTGTCACGAGCGGGATTCGAACACACGACCTTCGGCTAGATACGCCGCTGCTCTACCACTTGAGCTATCGTGACCTCGATCCACTCGGCACTAACTTCCCATCTCAACCGCACCTTTTGAATTTGCCCTCCTTTTTGCCATTTTTTATTAATTTTTATCTCAATTAAAAACCTTATTTAATTAAAAGATATCAATTGATCAAGCGGACCACGAAAAGTACTGAATTTAATAAGTTAAAATGAAATAGACTTCACTAAATCTCTCCGTAGCCATTTCAATTGTCGCCGAGAATCAAATAGATTACACGAAATTTCAAAAATGGCAAAAAAAGAGGGAAAATTCAAAAGGTGGGGTTGAGATGGGAAGATAGTGTCCAAGTGTCAGGATAGCTCAAGTGGTAGAGCAGCGGCGTATCTAGCCGAAGATCGTGGGTTCGAATCCCGCTCGTGCCATTGACTTTTTTATCTCAACTAAAAACCTTAATTAATTGAAAGATATTAATTGGTCAAGCGGACCACGAAAACTAGTGAATTGATTTGAAGCTTGAATAAAAGAATGAAAAAACAAAAGTTACTTCAAAAATCTAATCATCGAAAAATTTTACACGTATGCCAAAAAAATTCACATCAGGCCTACTTTTTTTATTGTACAATTTCTTTTCCATATTGGTCTTTAAACAATTAAAATTCATAACTGAATCCTAAAATGTAGTATCGTCGACTCTCTCAAATTTCGCTGAATAATAAGGAGTATTAATCGATGTTAATAATTTATCCAACATCTAGCCGTGTTTCTATGTTTTGATTTGAACTGCTGACTAATAGCTTGTAAGCACACGTAGAATATTACTCATTAGGAGTACGGTTTAGCAAATGGAATATAAGTGCCCTCCTTCATGTGGTTTTATCTTAATGGCACGGTAATACAGAAAATGCATCAGATTAGCCCTCTAATTAATGTCTGCTAAAATTCCACTAGGTAAAATGTTTATTTATCTTATTTTTTATAATTAATAATTTTTAATTTAGTTATATTTTTAATCCAAGGCCTTGGTTGCGATGAACCAAAACCTCAGAAAACAATAATTATCCTAAAAACGTAATTAATAGAATCATAAACAATTATTCTAAAACTCCAGTTATATAACTCACCACTAAACCAAACATCCTCTTTGCGGACAACACATCAACCAACGCAACCACACACAGACAAAGCATATACATGTCCATTCTATTAGTCTTTAGTAACTGGGAGTTTTGTGCCCCTGAAAAGCCCCGGTGTTGTGTTGAGAGAAGCCGTGACGAAACGAGCGGGATTCAAACCCACGATCTTCGGCTAGATACGCCGCGTGTGGTTGAGATGGGAAGTTGGTGTCCGAGTGGATCGAGGTCACGATAGCTCAAGTGGTAGAGCAGCGGCGTATCAAGCCGAAGATCGTTGGTTCGAATCCCGCTCGTGCCATTGACTTTTTTATCTCAACTAAAAACCTTAATTAATTGTATTATTTGTCAAGCCTTCAACGAAACTAGTGAATTTAATTATTTGTAATCTATTATATTTCGCAGTCTGATGGACTAAAATAAATCTTTTTATGTAAGGTGTTAGCGGAAATGAAAAAGTTAGTGTCACGAGCGGGATTCGAACCAGTGTTGGGCAAAAATTAGTCATGTCTAATGATTAATGATTGATCACTCAGACCGTTAGTCATGATTGGTAGTAAGTGACTAATTTAGTCATTAGTCACCATANGAATCGGACCATGGTCAATATGAACTTTTTTGTTCATTTTAGGGTCAAGAATCTACTGGTGAAGTTTGTAGCACGAGTAGCAAGTCACCCTGTATAGTTAATCATGACTAAATTTCGATAAATCATGTTCAAATGGGTGCTCAAGAAATGAAAAATTCACAACTTAATCACTTTTAAAAAATTCTCTAACAGAAATTTATTTCATAAAAACGAAAATCCTTCAACACCTTATTTAACAAAAACCAATCTTCCAATTATAAGTAAAACTAGTTGTTATGAAAATCTAAAAAATAATGATAATAACAATAAAATAAAATCTTAGAACAAGCTACGCTTTGAAAAGTAAATGTTTACATAATCGATTAATGGAAAAAGTATTTCTTTGAATTAAAATTTATTCTACTTGAAAGGAATGATTTCTACATTATTTGGAAAATATACCATCTAGGGGTCTTGAATGTAATAAAATAGACACGTAGAATAATTATGTAACTTTGGTTTTTGTTTATGATAACATTTTTTGAATGTTGGCCGTGAGCACGACTCTCATCTCAAAATTTTTATCCGGAATCTGTTGGATTTTGGTAAGTTGGTCATTGTAGCCAGATTTGGGCAAAATCTAACTACTTCAATCATGATTAAGAATTTTGATTGAAGTTTAATCATGGTTGAATTAGTCATGAGTAAATTAATCATTGTATGATTTAGTCATAGCTCATGATTGAATTAATCATGACTAAATCACATAATGATTAATTTACTCATGACTAATTCAATCATGATTAAACTTCAATCAAAATTCTTAATCATGATTGAATTAGTTAGATTTTGCCCAACTCTGATTCGAACCCACGACCTTCGGCTCAACACGCCTTGAAGTCACGATAGCTCAAGTGGTTAGAGCAGCGGCGTATTGAGCCAAGGTCGTGGGTTCGAATCCCGCTCGTGACACTAACTTTTTCATTTCAACTAATACTTTACATAAAAAGGTTTATTGATTGAATGAAATTATTTGTAATTATCTTAGATTCGAATGCAGGACTGCAACCCGTGGCCTTTACCTTATTTCATTGACCCCCAGCGTCTGTTGAGACTGAATGTTATTAGCGTGAATAGCGTATATCAAGCACTCCACCACCCTAACCGACTGACTGGTATGTAAATGTGAAAGATTGTATTTGAAAGTGAATGTTTTTTTAAGTTTTAGGGAATAATTTTGTTAAAAATTGAGATGATCTCGGATGGTAGCTTACGAAGCCCAAGCACGTTGGCTAAATGGATAAAACCGAGGTATGACCCCGGACTGCCAGCGCCCAAGGTGGATGATTCTCGAAGCCTGCCGATAACTTATTATAAATTACAAAATCTGCAAGTCCCGGTGGATTTAGATAGTGATAAGCTCTGTATATGCACATGGGTGTTTAAATAAAAAGCTTATATAAATCAGAAATCAATACAAGAGATTTTTAAGAATATATAATTTCTCATATTCGCAGGTCAGTATTTTTAAAATAATAACACCCCTTCTCGTTTTGTAAATTTAGGGTAGAATGTAATTAAGAGGGGGAACAAAAATATATTTAATGAGATATACTAAGTAGAAGAAGAGTTTAATGCTTGGGTAAATTTTCGAGGTCTTTAAAGGCCTGGTGGAAAGTTTCGTTTATAGAGGTAAAAGGCTCTCGGACTGCCTCTCCCTGTATTCTCACAATTAAAACAATTTATGATTTTTAATATGCGCCGAATGGGATTCTGCGAGTAAAGTTCCACCGCATCTGGATTCCCTCTCGCTCTCGCTGTTCTTTTTTCCGCCACATCAAAAGAAAGATTCAAGTGGACTGGAGCCAATTGTGTTTCAAATGAAAAATTTGTCCGATCTCTTTGCCAGTTAGACCGAGTTTATTTATTTACCCTCTGGCCAAATCCATCCTATTCAATAATCCTCGAAAAATCGTTTACGCTTTTTTTTTTCCAACGCCCAAATTTTTCATCGTTTCACTTAGCCTAATCAATATAGCTGTTGCGGTAAAACAATAAAAGGGCTTTACAGTTTATTTCATTTCGTACAGTGTAGAAGTGGACCGTGATAAAAAAAAAGTTATCTGCAGATGAAAAGACCACCTAAAGCTTTTTTCACTGTCCTCTTAAAATATTGTTCAAAACTTTACGATTTGCCCAATATATTGTAAAAACCATTTTTTAACATTTTTAGAAACAAATAGAAAACTGTATTATTTATGATAGTTTTTGTTAATATTTTTGTTTCAGAACCGAAGGCTGGAAGCCTTGTTATATTCATGCGGGAAAATGTTTGTCCTCTAAAATTAAAATTTCCACACGAATTTTGCGTTTCAGACCTTTTTGAACGAATTTGGTCCCGTGTCTGTCTTTCATTTGGTGCAGTGGTCGATTTCTTCCTTGGCAAATCCCCAAAACCATTTTTATGAAATTTCAGCTTGTGAGGGTTGGTTTCTAGACGTGCTCCTATCAATTTCATCCCAAACGGATCAACGGTATTGCATGCGTATGCGCAAACGTAAAATCCCGTACACGGCTATGTCTCCGAAAACATTTTTTTGGATTTTGATGAAATTTGCAGGAATTATGCGAGTTGTTTTATATATGATATCCTATGAATTTTATTCTAAACACATGCGCATGTACAAAATGTGAGAAATTTAAAGTGCCTAAACACTTGTCAGACTTTTCTGTTCAAATATGAAAAATTGATATTCATGGAAAAAAAGGTTTTCACTTTTTAATTATAATATTTCATTTGAAAATTTAACTGCAGCCTCATTTCTTGGGTAAAATTAATATTGTAAAAGGTAACAGTATGTTTACTGTTGCTTGTAATTAGCACAATATTGTTGTTAATGTACAATTCGACGTTTATCAATCAATATTAGAAATCTTTAATCGAGATTCCTGTTACGGAATGAGTCCTTCAGGAAGATGTTTTTAGCCCGCTCTTGTTTTCCATTTGTATTTCTGACATTCTGTCGTTTTTATTAGAGAGTGGGATTTAACATAAAATTAACGAAAATCTTGTCATGCTGTGATATTTGAAATTTTTTGTAA